GAGAGAGAGAGAGAGAGAGAGAGAGAGAGATAGAAAGAGAGAGAGAGATAGAAAGAGAGAGAGGGGGTGAGTTAGATACAGAGAGAAATACACAGAGAAAAAGAGAGAGGGACAGAGAGAAATAAAGAGGGAAAGAGAGACAGAAATAGAGAGAGAATGAGACAGACAGACAAACAGACAGGGAGACAGACAGACAGAGAGACAGACAGACAGAAGCGAGAGGCAGAAAGACAGAGAGGAGGGAGAGGGAGAGGGAGAGGGAGAAAGAGAGAGAGAGAGAGAGAGAGAGTGGGGGTGGGGGTACGCAAGGCCCTGTCGAACAACCAAGTTTACTTAAAATAATTTGTGTTGAATTTGAACTGACAATGTTGAATTTGAACTGGCAGTGTTGAATTTGAACTCTCTATTGTTAAATTTGATAGTGCTATTCTGATATTTGAGCTTCCAAGTGTTACATTTATTGCTCCGTCTATTTTGATTTTTTAGCTTTCTATTTTTATGAGAGCCTGCACTATGAACAACTTGCCTCATGTGTAAGCTGGTGGATTTTCTCCAACCCAAACCAGAAGTTGCCAGAGAGGTCGCCGAATCCGAGTTTATAGTCTGTCCAGCCACGGAAAAAGTCTATGTCCGCTGAAGCACGTCTCTGTAGACATAACAAAACATTATACCTGTTTGTGAGGCCTGTTGTTACTATTACTCCTCATCTGTCTACACGGACATGATATCACAAGAAGCAAAAGACAACCCAGAACAACTCAACAAACTGTTCTTCGCTAAAGACCAGAGCTTCATATATTCATACCAGAACAGCCCACAAGAACATGCCACTGAATTGAACGCAGCATGTGAGAAATATGAAATTTAAATGAGCACAATTAATTAATCTAACTTCGGAAGATCTCCGGAAACCAACCCACATGAAATATAAAAGTCAACAACACACAACTGAAACAAGTACAAGAATTCAAAGACCTTGAAAGCACAATGGCACCAGACGAGTAATTGACAAAGATTTTGAAACACAAGAACACAGAACTAATGTGGTCACCTACCAGTCAGCACCCACCTTCTCCCATCAAAACATACATAAAATGAAGACAAAGAAACAACTCAACAGATCAATTCTCAAACCAACTCACTGCTACCAGTGCCAAACCTGAACCCTCAACAAAACGCAGCAATGTAAAATGATAGCAAGCGAAATGAAATGTCTCAGAAAGACCTTAAAAACCACGACAAGGGGCCGATAAAAAGAATGAAGACATCAGAAAACAGGCACACAACAAATAAAGCGGTTTGTACAAATCATGTGGATGGGGCCACAAAAGGCAGCCTCAAAAGTCGTCAATCTGCGACTCGTTGGCTTCAAGGCAATGGGAAAAACCAAGAAAATGATGGATCGATGGATTCAAAGAGAACCTTCGAAGGCACAATGTTATAACTACCCAAAAAGCAACACACCTGGCCCATGTCCAACAGTTACATTTCCCATCTACACCTTTTGGCACATGAATAAGGGACAGACAAAGAACGTGGAATAAAGTGTCGTGTAAGCAAAATTCCGTTGTCAGGGAGAATGCTAAGTGACATTGTTTGGGGATTTTTCACAAACAGTAAAGCCAAGGCAGCAAGTTTTTGGCTTTTTTAAAAATAGAAAAACTGAGTTTGTAAAGCTGATGCAGCAAGGCAGAGTAGCAAAAAAAATCAAGACAGTTAAGTCCTGATATTGTCACTGGCCCAACAGACTGCGAGTGCTCTGTTTGTGAACAAATCTTCAGAAAAAGATTAGCACATGAGGATCATATTAAGTTATACATACTATTAAGGTCGTGGGTTCGAATCCCGTCAGGGACCCGACGTTGTGTCCTTGGGAAAGGCACTTTACACGAATTTTCCTCACTTCACCCAGGTGGGAATGGGTACCCGGCTATAGACAGCGAAAGATCTTGTCAGTATGTTAGTGTTTGAGCGCTTAATCAGCTGCTTGCACTGTATGCTTCCCGGGAAGCTGAGAATGTTTCGAAGTGTTCTATGGTCTGCTGGGGTAATAATATAGTGTAAAGCGCATAGAGCCTGCTGTTGAGCGGGGATTTGCGCTATACAAATGCTATCTATTATCTATTATTATTATTATTATTATTGTCTGCGATGCGTTTTGCTTTTTTTGGTTTTATTATAAAAACCTATCCCGTATTTAGTTCTTTTTGCGTATGTCCCAGTCCTGATTAGGGGATTGTTTCCGTGGAAATTTTGGCATCTGGATTCTTTCTTTTTTATGTCTGATATTCCCATCAAGTATCACCTTTCTCGTCCTCATTACTTACTTTCACATTTTCATCCTCTGTTGCCATTCAGCGTCGATGGGAGATGCAGTTTCCTGTGATTGGGCAATTCTGCAACTCTTTCATCTTGACTCTTTCCTTTCGGAGATGAACGTTAACCTCGGAGTTCCTGCCTCATAAATAACCTAATTGTGTTAATAGGGGCGTTAAACCTTTACCATTTCACCTTTGTTTTTTGCAGTGTGTCTTCCTATATTGCAAAAAAGTACTGTTGATCTCACTCTTTTGCATCAGCCTGTATATCGATAAGATAATGTTGAACCCACCCCATTTGTTTGTGCCAGCCTGTATAAGAATTAATAATGTTGATGTCGCTTGTGTTGTTTTATCCTGTATGTCGATGGGGATAAAGCTGATCTCACCTGTATCACAATCCAGCCACCGTTGTCCGTGACGGTGTCGCAAACGACCAACATACCGTTAGTGAGACGGACCACTGGTCGAGGGCCCAGGCCCGTGACGTCCACGCACGTTTGGGGCTGTAGAGAAATCCATAGGGAAGGAGGTTTTTTAATTAATTATTTTTTAAAAGTGTTAGTAAATGTTTTACGGCGCTCGCATCTACAAATTATATTGGTCATATGAGTGGGCAGAACATATTACGCATTCGTTTAAATTTTGCCCGGGTGGCGGCTGAAGCCCACTCTTGTCGACTTTAGAACCACCAAGGGATCTTTAATAACGTGCACAACTTGACACGGGACGACGGAGATATTTTCGCCCTTTTCCGAGAAGGATAGATGTTAGATCTTACCTACCTTAAGAGCAGGGGTGTGGCTGAGAAACAGCAGTAAGAAAGAGCCAAGGAGTAGCAGTAGAAAGGCAGAAGAAAGAGTCAGGAGCCCAGAGGAGGGGGCAAAGGGGGGAGGGGGAGGGTGCAGAAAGTAAAGACGAAAGCAGACGATAGAACATGATTAGAGAGCAGGAAATGTGAAAAGGAGAAAAATTTTCAGAGAACAAAATGTTCCGTCAGTTTCAGGTTTCAAACCCAGGACCTAATGAATGAGAGGCCAACAATTTAACATGTTATCACTCTGTCAGTATCAGTTTGCTATAGCTTGTTCACTTTCGTCTGACCACTGTTAAAACAGGATAATATTATGAGAAATCCTATATCAATATCCCTCACTGAAACAAAACACGAGGCAGTTTGTCTACGCGCTGGCGAGGACTGTCTTTGAAGCTTTTTTTTTTTAAATAGTAGAGGGTTTTACGGCGCTCGCAGCTGAATAAGGTCATATGAGTGCCAAGGGGTGGGTGTTAACAGAGAAGTCTTTACAGGGAATCAGACTTAGACTGCTCACCTCTCTAGCTTCTACAGCACAAGGTCTGCTTCGACTATCAAGGCACCCCAAAATAGCAGGTCACAAGGGAGTGACCAACATACAAAAGAAGTAGAGGAAAAGGACAATAGTAAGGATCAGGAAAGAAAAAGCAGCAGTTCCCTGTTGTAGATCAGGCACAGTTATGAGTGTGACATGAATCAGCCCATTTACAATTCTACTGTGCTTGAACGAGATATGTCCCGCCTTTGGGAATGGCCTAAAGACACTTCAGTCAGTGGCACTGCCCGGGGGGGGGGGGGGTTGCTTTTGATTACTCGTCATTGTCGGCCGTCAAACACCCAGAGAGATTCTCACCTGTATTAGGCTCTGAAGAGCTGTCAACTGGCGATCAACACTTGCCCCAAAAGCCTCCACAGTGGTTGCTAGGTCTTTCTGTCGAGGAGGATTTCTTTTCTCGTCCTCTAAGGTCGCTTTCGCTTTTTTCTCTTCCTTTTCCTCTTCAAGTTTGCGGTTTAAGACCTGTAATATGACATCATTCTTAAAAGTCATAACAATTGTCGGGAAGTTCTGTCCCATGACGTTTCACAAATGTAAAGCTAATGACGTCACAACAGTATTGACCCAATTGTATTATTACGTAAGTCACATAAATCCATTAGCGTTAGAGCCGATCCTGTTCTGCTCAGAAACTATTTACTATCTCTATCGCCCTTGCGACGTTCTGCAGAACAGTTCCATTCTTTAAGGTACCAGTTCCCTTCGTGGTAAACTCAGTTAATGTCCTGCAGGGGTTTAACTAATAACATGTCAACACGGTAGATCAATACGCAGAACCTTCTCGTTCAACAATATACCTTCAAAGTAAATGGAAAGCTATTTTAAACAAATCGCTTACCTAGAGAAATGTGTACTAATTAATGGGAACAAAAACCTCGAGAGAGATTCTCACCTGTATCAGGCTCTTCAACTTGCTATCAAAACCCTCTCCAAGAGCCTTCACGGACGCCGTCACGTTTTGCCAGGACCCGGAATGTGACTTGTCGGGACATTCTTTCTTGTTCTCCTCCTCTGTGTAGCTCAGGAGCTGTACAGTGGCAACACTCTTCAGGTTAGGAACATGAACTTGTCTGTCACAAAATAACATTCTTCCAGCAAGCGTTTTTAATGATGTCACACCTTTATGCAAGATAGGGTTTATTGCTTTTTATGGTTTTGCTTTTTGTCTCAAGCTTAGAAAGTAAGTGTGGAGGAAAAGTGAAAGCAGGAAAACGTTTACGTACGCTTAGGCACTGATATTTATTCTTCTTCAGTTATCTACACACATAATAATAATATATTATTACACTTACACATATAAACGCCAATGTAGACGAGTAAACATTTATACACATAGACTGGCTGTACGCCACTGTGGCAAGATGTAGCTGCCTGTTCCATTGCCAGCACTGACAACAACTGTTCTCGATACGGGCACAGTAAGCAAAGTCAAGGCCGACCATAGCGTCTGAAGTGTCTCCGAGTCACATGGTTGATTTATTCTTTTGGTCTTTTCAACCCCCCCCCCCAAAAAAAAATTTAAAAAAAAAAAAAAAATTTAAAAAATTAATTAAAATTTTTTAAAATTAAAAAATTAAAAAATTAAATTTAAAAAAAAAAATTGTCAATATTCTTTGCTTGAAAAAAACAAAACATGTAAAGGTTTAGTTCTCTGCGCAGGTCAGCAATGAATTTTGCTCCTATTTCTGTACAGGCAGTTCTTCATGAAATGTTATGTTTACTTGTCAATATTGTGGAAACAAATAGATTACCTCAAGAGATATTTGGAAAACGAGACTTTGAGAAAGATTTGGAAAATAATACTTTGAGAGAGATTTGGAAAACAATACTTTGAGAGAGATTTGGAAAACAATACTTGGAGATAGATTTGGAAAACAAAACTTGGAGAGAGATTTGGAAAACAATACTTTGAGCGCGATTTTGGAAAACAATACTTTGAGAGAGATTTGAAAAACAATACTTTGAGAGAGATTTGGGAAAACAATACTTTGAGAGAGATTTGGAAAACAATACTTTGAGAGAGAGAGAGAGTTATTGGAAAACAATACTTTGAGAGAGATTTTGAAAACAATACTTTGAGAGAGATTTTTTGGAAAACAATACTTTGAGAGAGATTTGGAAAACAATACTTTGAGAGAGATTTATTGGGAAACAATACTTTGAGAGAGATTTGGAAAAACATTACTTTGAGAGAGATTTGGAAAACAATACTTTGAGAGAGACATTTGGAAAACAATACTTTGTAGGAGATTTGGGAAACAAGTACTTTGAGAGAGATTTGGGAAGCAAATCCTTTGAGAGAGAATCTCACCTGAGTCTGGCCATTGAACTTGTTCTCGAATCCGGTTTCATGAGTCTCCTCTGTGGCCGTCATTTTTTCCGCTGTGTCTTTTTCCTGTTTATAAAACTCCATGGCACCCTCCAATGTTTCGCCTACGATTTGATTAATGGAGGCTGTTTTATGGGTTACAGAAACTGGAAGACTTTTCTGCCACTCGACGTTCTTCTGGGAAGAAATGCTAACAACGTCACAGCGATATCGGCCAATTGTGTCATAGGTCTCCACAGGCCATGTAAGCCTCAGAAAGCTGTCAGAAACAGAGCCGATTGTTCCCTCAGCGAATACTTTGTCATCTTTGGATTTTTGTTTGACTTTTGCAGCGCCGCCTGGCCGAACCTCTGCCATCTTGTCCCACTTGTCATTATCCAGTTTCAGTATTCTCATAGTAACGATTTCAGAAACAGATGGTGGGGTTTTGCTTATACATTCCAGTGACACGTTGGCAGTTTTTCCTACTTCGACTTCACGTGTGGTAACTTTCAGCGCATAAGCACTTGAGGACAGGAACAGTGCTGTTGCCAGAATCAGCTTCAGTGATACCCAGTTGGCGTCCATTCTTCTTGTACAGGGAGTTATTTTGGTCTGAAAACCCTTTGAAAAGCTTTGCCAGGAAGTCTGCAGGGAATATGGAGGAAAAGAAGCCCACCCAGTCAAGAAAATATTTGGCCGTACAAAGTAAACGATAACAGAATCAAAAACCAATCAAAGACATTTTTCTAAGTTTTGGAATTACCGGCAGCCACAAGTATGGGTCAAAGAATATTGACTGTATGCCTTCAAGTCTCTTTCTGGGAGACGTTTAACTTTGTTAAAACGTGAATTTAATGTCATTTCCAAAACGTTCATGAGCCTCATGCCAAACACACACACACCACACCCTTTTCAGGCCTTTCTTAAAATACCAGCATTCGGGACCAACCCCTTACATTCCTAACACGAGATGTTACCCCCACCACTCCCTCCTCCCACCCATCCCTCTTCCCTCCCCCTTTCCTTCTCCCATTCCCCCCCTCCCCCACCTAATCCTTCCCTCCTTCTCCCAACCCTCTCCCCCTCCCCTTCCCGACTCTAGTATAACCTCTGAGGAAACGAAACAAGACATCTCATTACTGTCACCAACAAACCAACACCCTTTAGCTATCTCTGACTGTTACCGAGAGTTCCTGTCACTCTACCTGTTGAGCAGGTATGGACAAATTGCGCCAGTACCACTCTGACCTGCGAGTCCGCTCAGTCACAACAATAAATGTGGCGTCGGTGGTCTAGCGGTTGGGCTACCGGACTCGTAATCGTGAGGTTGCGGGTTCGGGGGTTTGAGCCTCAGCTTGGTCCGACGTTGTGTCCTTGGGAAGAAGCAATCCATACCAAAGCACCCACCGACCACCCACACAACAATACATCATAATGTGGCCTGCTGTGGGTTGATAATTGATAAGAACAAAACTGTCCGTCTTGAAAGTATGATTCTGTTTTAGTCTCAGTTTTTGAGAACATTTTGTATTTCTACTAATTTCACTATTTTATTTTCTCCTTCTTTGGCCTGCGAGGTATTGGGAATGGTTTAATCCGGCTCCATTTCATACCTGCCCGAAACACGAACTTATAGGGAAAGATTTTTTTTTAAAAAGAGGAAGTTGTTCTCGTCGGTGTACCAAGCAGGGGCGGAGGAACACTCGCCCGACAGGGTAATCAAAGCAAGACCACCCAAAAAAAAAAAAAAATCAACAGAAAAAAACGTCAACAAAACAGATAGGGACGGCCCTTCCCGCGAAAAGCTTTCCAACAATAGGAACTTCATTTATTATAACAATACTTCATTCGGTAGACGCATCACTGAAAGTCCTGAATGAAAACAAATTCCGAATTCATGTGTACACCGGCCAAAATAATCGGAAAATATATATCTTTTAATTGCC